GCTCTCATGTGCAGTAGTCCGGAAGGTATTATACTGGACGCTGCTGCCAGGAGACCCAACACCCTCTGAAAGTGATGGCGCAGCCTAACTGCACTCTGGTCACTGAGGATAAAATGGACTTGACGCGTGCGGGAGACAGGTGGGCCTGCATCATCGTTGAGTCCCACACCACCCCTAGGTACGTAGTCCGTTGGGCGGGCGTCAGCACGCTCTTCTTCGCGGCGCCAAATGCTGAAGGTGGGCGAGGACAACATCTCGATGCCGAACCGCTAACTCCCGAGACTGGGCCAGGACGAGCCAGTTGTTGATGTAGTGGGACGGGGGGTAGTGGGTCCCCCTACTCAAAGCCTCAGGACCTCTTCCCCTGGACCCGCCGAGACTGAAGGACGGTCCTCAGATCTGTCTTCTTGGGAGGCTGTGGGCGAGAGTGCCGCCTCGCGTCCCAGGTTGTTTGAGAGGGACCCTGTGAAGCGACACTCTGCTTCTAGCTGCGGCGGTAGGCGCTGGACGAGGGCTGCGCCTGCCTTTCCTGAGCTGTCACGGTCCTGGAGCCTTACCGGCGGGGGAGATATTGGTCAAACACCTCTCCCTGTGTTTTGGCGTGTTGAAACCTGCCATGTAGGCCTTGCCCGCCAAATTGGACATCATCCGACACGGCTTGGTGGGGAGCGCCGGCGTCCGGAGGGATGAAGAGAGGTTGGGCAAGAGGTAGCTCGCAAGTGCCTCCTCCACCCGTGGCATCGCTCTGTAGCCGTGCTGTCTGACATCCGTCACGTTGCCGTAGTCCAGCCGGGGGGACATAGACAGCCATGCAGAGAAGGGTTTGGAAAAAATGGAAAAAATGGTAAGGGCCGATGTGGGAGTGGCGCTTGGTGTTGCAGAAACCGCTCGTCCAGTTTACTGCCAGCTGGAGGCTGCTGCACAGCCTGTGGCCAATCAATATGCAGCTTGGCCACAGCCCGCGTCACCACTTCCAACAACTCATCGTATCCCGGCGAGGGCTGATGACGTTCCGTCTCCCCGAAGTCATTCTCCACGATGCTAAGCACATCTAGCTCCTCAGAGCCAGACCGTGCAAGACTCTTCTCTTCTTCTCTTTCTCCTGTAGATCAAATTTCTCATTTAATTTCATCCCAGCTGAGTCTACATACATGCAGGCATGCCTGAAGTAGCCTAAAGTCTTTTTAAATGTGCATATGGCACCTTTTCACCTCAATCATAAATTAGCTTAATTAACTTGAATTCAGTTAAAAATAAGTTATTGATGAAAACTTTGATAGGAGGGTCTGGGGGTCCTCCCCTAGAAGATTTCGAGCATTAAACACTTTTTTGAATTCCGGAGATATTTTCTGCACCAATTTATGGTGGCAATGTCTTTATTTTTTATAAAGAGAAGGACAAAATTTAGGTGGCAGGTGACAATTCAGAATATAAAATTATAATACAATGTAATGCAGTAATCAGTAGCTTGTTCTTTTTTACCTTAAGTTACTATTTTTAAATATAGAGATTTATTCTATATTTACAATGCACTGTAGGCTTATTATTCAACATAGCATTTGTATTTGTTAATAAACACTTGTTGTTCGTAGGCCCACCGGGCATTTGCCTGGTATGCCAGATTACCAGTCCACCCCTGTGTATACCCCCTTTTGACCGTCTGACAGACACAGAGCCGTCGGGGACTGTAGCCTACTCGATGAGACGAGCGCACTGATCTTCATCAGAGGAAGAAAACTGAAAACACTTGTGATCAGACAGCAATATCACCACAATTCCAAACAAATGTTCTCTTCAGCACCTGTGATAAAGCGCAGCTCACAGCTGCTTTAGAGGTAATGAAGCATCCTGGAGAAAGTAAAACAGTAGGCTAGTGTCTCAGAGCGAGGGGGACAGAGACAGCATGACAAAGCGTCAGGTGTTGCGGTCAGGTGTAATGATATTCTCTCACTTCTTTGCAGCGACTGTTAACTGTTTGTGTTAATACATTGACTAGACACTGACCGACAACATTTATATTTAAATGAATCGATTGCAATTTTGCTAGGGACAATTCAGTAGTTGCGGGCAAGTCCTGAAGCTGTGAGCAATGCTCTCTCTCTCTTTCTCTCTCTCTCTCTGCAGGCCTGCTGAGTTATGGTGAGGGGGGTCACGTTACGTGAACTTAAAACAAAATGTAGCAATATTATTGCAAGTAGCCTGCGCTCTTTGAAGAACTGCGAGACAGGCTGCCCCATGAAGATTATATTAACATGGAAAATATTTTTGTTGCTGTTGTTCAGGGCTACAGTCAAAACATTGGGGACTAAAGCCCCGGAAAGATGACCTGGTGACGTAATGGCTCAAATGACACTCTGTTTTTCTTGCCCTAAACCTTTTGGAAACCTGATGAAGAAATCTAATTTGGGGTACGTCTTTTCTTTTTCTTGCATAGGTGTCATTTACACTGTGGACACTGGGGACATGTCCCCACCACTTTTTTAAAGCATAATTTGTTGGGGGAAAAAATTCTGAAATATAGTACAGTTACAGTTAAATAACAAATGAAAATGCCTTTAGGAAAGGTTTATTTGCACATTAAGAAAACATGCAATGCAATTAAAATATAGAAGAAACAAATGTGCATTGTCCAAAAAACGTAACTTAAGCTAAAGAAAAAACAAGCTACTGATTATAAAATGACCCAAAAACGTGCATACAACAATCAGTAACTTTCACAACTTCTTGACACAGTTTGTTTTTGGCCAAGTTTTCTGTTCTCTCCCACATAACATAAAATGAGGGAAGACTAAATAATGCCTATATAGGCTATATGTTGCCTCAGCAGGGATGATATTACATGAGAAAAGTTGAAGCATTATATTCTATTACATTTTTATATTTGAAATGTCACCTGCCACCTGAATTTTGTTTTTCCTTTTACATAAATAAAAAACATTTCTACCAGAAATTGGTGTAAAAATGTTCACCAGAATGCAGGAAACTTTCCTGGGGGAAGTCCCTCCAGACCCCCCGCTCATATATCACGGCATTGAAGATATCTTTAAACACTGTTTAAGGATATTTTGGTCTTGTTCTTGTGAACCTAATATCGCGTATTGTGATGTCTGGTGAACTAAGTGTCTCTTCACAGCTCTAATCTGAGCCCTTATGTCCCCACCACTTCTCAACACAAAGTGACGCCCTTGCTATCAAGCTACCATATCAATGTCATTAGTATAAATACATACAGTGTCGGTACTTCACCATATTGATGCCGGCTTTTGATGCAGCCACACTTCATCAAGAAAAGTAACAGTTCTTAGTTTGGCTTCAATTGTTGTATTTACTTTAAGTGTATGGCTTTTTATAGCTTTATAGTGTTTTAAACATAGCCTGTGTGATTTTAAAGTAATGGTTTGAAATTTTGGAAGATATGTATGATTTAAGGCCCATTTATACTCCTGCGTAGGGTCTACGTGCGTAGTCTACGGCGTAGCTCCCATGTATAGCGTAGTAACCATGCATTTATACTTGCGTAGGTGTGTCCGTCATTCTGTAATTACACCCCCAAACGCTAGTGGGCAGTAGCGCTACAGCGTCCACTGTATTGAGTTTTGAACGTGTTAGCAAACAGTTTCTTGTAGGGCTCAGTGACACACTTTAAAGTCTGACTGTGTGTTTTGTAGGAAGTGGACTTGTTTAGAAGCTCTTATAAAGAGAACTATAGCTCAGTCAGTCAGTCGTTTTGAATTCTACTTCTTCAGAAGACTAAAGGATCATCCTGTGAGCTGTGTGTGTGTGTCAGGATGAACAGAAAGGCAGAGCAGACGTTAGAGTCGGACTGGTCTACTCTTTGATGACCACAGTGGAAGATGCAGTAACATGAGGCTAAATACACAGCACAACCCCAGCTCAGTCACCATGCAATAGGTGTGAATATCATCTGAATATCACTGGAATATGTTGTCAGTTTGGGTTCAGGGGGCAGACACTGTCTCCACGTTTAAGATTAGGTTTAAGACTTTCCTCTTTGATAAAGCTTATTGTTAGTGCTGGCCCAGGTGAGTCCTGAACCATCCCTTAGTTATGCTGCTATAGGCCTAGACTGCCAGGGATTTCCCATGATCCACTGAGCTCCTTTCTTTTCTTTCTCTCCCTCTGTATGCAACCTCATCCCATTAATGCATGTTACTAACTTGACTTCTTCCCTTTCCGTAGTCATGTGATTTCTTGTCCTTCTCCTCTCTCCTCCTATCACTTTCTGCAGGTGTTTCTGGCTCTGGACCTGTGGAGTTAGATCTGTGGTTGCGAGTCACCTGCTGCCCCGTGTTCCTGCTCGATACCCTCTGCTACAATAATTGTTACAAGTGCTATTCTTATTATTATTATCTTTAACACTTTGATTATTATCCTGAACACCACTATAAATATCTGTACCATTATTCATTCAGTCTGTACCTACATCACCTTTACTGCCTGTACCTCTGTGTGTATATTATATATATATAAGGCTGCCTCCCTCCCCTCTCTCTCTCCCTCCCTCCCCTCTCTTTCTCTCTCTCTCTCTCTGTCTCACCCCCAACCGGTCGAGGCAGATGGCCGCCCACCCTGAGCCATGGGTCTGCTCGAGGTTTCTGCCTCTTAAAAGGAGGTTTTTCCTTGCCTCTGTCGCCTAGTGCTTGCTCTTGGTGGGAACTGTTGGGTTTCTGTAAATATCATCACAGAGTATGGTCTAGACCTGCTCTCTTATGAAAAGTGCTCTGAGATAACTGATGTTATTTGGTGCTATATAATATATATATATATATATATATATATATATATATATATAAAAACTGAATTGAATTGAATCATGGTGTAATTTATGATGATGATGAATCCCTTGTTTATTTCAGTTCATCAAATGTCTAGAACTGGCAGTCACTAACAATGTGCTGATATTGTTTGAATGTAACTTTATTTATATAGTGCAAAAAACAATGCTGACAAGTTGTTTCAATAAAGACTAGGTCTGTAAGTACTGGTTTTCCTTGGTTTCGTTTTATTATTCACTTTTACTAAAGATATACAGTGTGTGTACACACACACACACACACACACACACACACATATATAGATACTTTTGGCTGAAATTATTACAATTTCTTACGAGGAGTGCAAGTTTGTTATATTAATTAGTAAGCAATCCCAATTAATGTAAATGGAAAAGCAAAAATATAAATCAAAGTAATGAAATTAAGAATGAAATATATCTGATGGTTAATATAAAATAAATCTGTGCAAATAAGCATAATACTGTTGTTTTCAGTCAGCTGTTAATTGACAAACAGGAGCTTTTGGATCCAAATGGTGATTACAGATGTGCTTGCTGTTTATTTCTTATTGGCTATTTGATTGCAGTAGATATCCTCTGTTATAGCAAAGTTTTGGTACACAGACTGGTCTTCACCGGCATCATCATAGTGGTCACAGGTGCTCTGTGGTTTGGAGGTCCCCTTCTTTGAGCATGCTACAACATCTTGATTTTCATAAATCTAATAAAGAGTCAAAAACATAAACAGATCAGAGTGTGGCATTACACAGAGAATTCATGTTGTTATGCATATCTTTTGAAATCCACATGAGTAATAATAAAAAAAAAACATTGCATTCTGCCACACTAGCAACAGAACTTAAAAAACGCCTGATAATCAGTTGGTAGGATCATTTCATTTGCTCAGTACTTTGGTCCAGAGCAAGACATCTTTCCATTAACAGGTCATAGTGCTGTGATTTGGTTTGAAAGTCTTACTGGCCAAAGAAAATGATTACTAACAATTTTGGTGACTCCTGACCTTTCATCTGGCACCACTGTCAGATAACAAGAGTAAGAGTCTACACTCTGTGAGTTTATATTTAGTGCTTTGAGTTAAATGCTAACATTAGTATGCTAACATGCTCATAATTCAATTCAATTAAATTTTATTTATATAGCGCCAAATCACAACAACAGTTATCTCACAGCACTTTTCATAAAAGAGCAGGTCTAGACCGTACTCTATGATGCTATTTACAGAAGCCCAACAGTTCCCACCAAGAGCAAGCACTAGGCGACAGAGGCAAGGAAAAACCTCCTTTTAAGAGGCAGAAACCTCGAGCAGAACCATGGCTCAGGGTGGGCGGCCATCTGCCTCGACCGGGTTTGGGGGTGAAGGAGAGAGAGAGAGAGAGAGAGAGAGAGAGACAGAGAGAGAGGAACAGAGAGAAAAAGAGAGGGATGGGAGGAGAGAGAGGGGAGGGAGGCAGCCTACCCAATATACACACACAGCGGTACAGACAGTAAAGGTGATGTTACTATAGACTAAATGAATAAATAAAAAATGGTATAGATATTTATAGTAGTGTTAATGATAATAATCGTAATGTTAATGATTATAATAACAATAACAACAATAGGACTAGTAACAATAGTTGTTGTAGCAGAGGGTGTTTAGCAGGAACACGGGGGCAGCAGGTGACTCGCAGCCACAGATCCAGACTCCACAGCTCCAGAGCCAGAAACACCTGCAGGAAGGTGATAGGAGTGGGGAGAAGGACAAGAAAGCACAAGACTACCAGAAAGGGGAGAAGTTGTGTTAGTAACATGCAATAATGGGATGAGGTTGCATACAGAGGGAGAGAAAGTAGAGGAGAGAGGAGCTCAGTGGATCATGGGAAATTCCCCGGCAGTCTAGGCCTATTTCTCTCTTTAAGATAAGATGGTGCCTGACCATTAAGAGCTTTGTAGGTAAGAAGAATGATTTTAAATTCTATTCTGGATTTTACTGGAAGCCAATGCAGAGAAGCTAAAACAGGAGAAATGTGATCTCTTTTCCTGGTTCCTGTCAGAACATGTGCTGCAGCATTCTGGATCAGCTGAAGAGTCTTAACGGACTTTTTCGAGCAGCCTGATAATAAGGAATTGCAATAATCCAGCCTAGAAGTAACAAATGCATGGACTAGTTTTTCTGCATCATTTTTAGACAGGATGTTCCTGATATTCGCAATATTACGTAGGTGAAAAAAGGCGGTCCTTGAAATTTGCTTAATGTGAGACTTAAACGACATGTCCTGATCAAAGATAACTCCAAGATTCCTCACGTTGGTGCTGGAGGCCAGGGCGATGCCATCAAGGGAAACTATATCTTTAGATAATGCGTCACGGAGGTGCTTAGGCCCCAGAGCAATAACTTCAGTTTTATCTGAGTTTAACATTAGAAATTTACAGGTCATCCAGGTTTTAACATCCTGAAGGCACATTTGAAGTTTAGCTAACTGATGAGTTTCATCTGGCTTGATCGATAGATATAACTGAGTATCATTTCCTGATAATATTGCCTAAAGGAAGCATATATAAAGTAAAGAGGATTGGTCTGAGGACAGATCCTTGTGGAACTCCATGACTAACTTTGGCGTGCATGGAGGACTCATCGTTAACATGTACAAACTGAAATTGATCTGATAAATAGGACTTAAACCAGCTTAGAGCTGTTCCTTTAATGCCAATGAAATGTTCCAGTCTCTGCAATAGGATCTGATGGTCAATGGTATCAAATGCAGCACTAAGATCTAATAAAACCAGTACAGAGACAAGTCCTTTGTCTGATGCAATAAGGAGGTCATTAGTAATTTTCACCAGTGCTGTCTCTGTGCTATGATGAACTCTAAATCCTGAATGAAAATCCTCAAATAAACTATTGCTCTGTAGAAAGTCACACAGCTTTTTAGCAACTGCTTTCTCCAGGACCTTAGAGAGAAATGGAAGGTTAGATATAAGTCTATAGTTGGCTAAAACATTAATTACAGCTACTTTAAAGTACTGTGGTACATAGCCTGTTGATAGAGATAGATTGATCATATCTAGTAAAGAAGTGCTGACTAAGGGTAAAACATCTTTAAGCAACCTAGTTGGGATGGGGTCTAAGAGGCAGGTTGATGGTTTAGATGAAGAAATTATTGAAGTTAGTTGGTAAAGATTGAGGGAAGCAAAACAGTCTAAACATGTATCTGGTTCCACAGCTGTTTCTAAGGTTCCTGAGTTAAGAGATAAGTCGGTGCCAGTTGAGGGCAGGTCTTGGTGAATTTTGTTTCTAATAGTTGGGGAATTTTATCATTAAAGAAGCTCATGAAATCGTAACTACTGAGAGCTATGGGAATACTTGGCTCAATAGAGCTGTGACTCTGTCAGCGTGGCTACAGTGCTGAAAAGAAACCTGGGGTTGTTCCTATTTTCCTCTATTAATGACGAGTAGTACGCTGCTCTGGCATTACGGAGGGCCTTCCTATAAGTTTTAAGACTATCTTGCCAAATTAAATGAGAATTTTCCAGTTTGGTGGAACGCTAATTCCTCTCAAGTTTCCGCAATCTTTGCTTTAATTTGCGAGTTTCAGTATTATACCATGGAGCTAACTGTCTTTGTTTTATTATTTTCTTTTTTAGAGGGGCTACAGAGTCAAGTGTCATTTGCAGCGAGCCTGCAGCACTATCAACAAGATGATTGATTTGGGAGGGACTGAAATTAGTATAGGAGTCCTCCGTTACTTTGTGACTTGATAATGAATTTAGAGCTGATGGAATCGCATCCTTAAATTTAGCTATAGCACTATCAGACAGACATCTTGTATAAAAGTTTTTGCCCAATGGCGTGTAGTTCAGCAATACAAACTCAAAAGTTATCAAAACAGTGGTCAGATAAAGAGGGATTCTGTGGGAACACTATTAAATGTTCAATTTCAATACCGTATACCAGAACAAGGTCGAGGGTGTGGTTAAAACAGTGAGTCAGTTCATGAACACTCTGAGAGAAGCCAATTGAATCTAACAGAGAGATAAACGCAGTACTGAAGCTGTGATTTTCAACGTCCACATGAATATTAAAATCCCTTACAATAATAACTTTGTCTGTTTTAAGGACTAAAGTTGACAAAAACTCTGCAAATTCAGATAAGAATTCAGAGTACGGACCAGGTGCTCGGTACACTATAACAAAAATAATTGGTTGCAGTGATTTCCAACTTGGGTGTGAAAGACTAAGACTAATTTTGTTTAGATTTAGAGATGATTAGTAGGCTAGAGTTGAAGATAGCTGCAACTCCACCTCCTCGGCCTGTGCCTAGAGGAATGTGAGTATTAATATGACTAGGGTGGTGGACTGGGTGGATTCATTTAGGCTAACATATTCTCCATCACCCAGCCAGGTTTCAGTAAGACAAACTATAGGATTGTCATTAAGTAACTCCTGAATTAGAAGGGCAGAGAAGTGTGTTAGACTGTGACTCTGCCTCCTGGTCTCAACTCTGGGTTGTCATGGATTTGGTCCACTAATAAATAATGACATACTAATATGTGGATGTTTAGCAAGTACAATGTTGGCAAAGTACTACATTGACAGTCAGTTCAGCGTCTTAGCAAGCTAACATTAGCCAACCAAGCACAAATTACAGCATAGGCTGATGGGATCGTTATTAGTTCTGCAGGTCACACAGGTGTATCTCAAAAAATTTAGGAAAAACATTTTTTGAGATGCACCTGCACTCTTGAAAATGATAGGGAGAAAACTAGTAGGATGTTGGTGATGATTCATATTTCATATTAAGACTTTAATTTGGATTTGAAACCCGATGATGATGATGAATGGCCAGACAAACAATTAGACTTTTCTTCGTAATTTTTTGAGATGCACCTGCAAACTTTTGAGCTGATGATGGCGCTAGATGAAAGGACAGGGAATCACCAAAGTGGTCAGGATTCATCACCTTGACACCGTGAATGTCTGTACAAAATGTTATGGCAATCCATCTAATAATTGTTCAGAGACTACAGTCTGGACTGATGTGGTGGACTGACTTACCCAACACGTTACAGACTAACATTGTCATCCATAGAGTCATGCAACGCAGTCTGCAAGGCTTACTATTTTTTCAATGAAAAATCAGCATGATTTGTCTTTATCTTTCCTCTAGATATTCATGGCAACCAGAATAAGAATTTTGGTTTTTGGTGACCTATTGATCTTTTCTCCAATGCCATCATTGGGCCAAAATATCCAGTTGAGCCCAAAATATTTCACAATTGAATAATATTATATAGTAATATTATCCTCATATTCTTTCATCACAGTCATGCTCCTAAGAGGATGGACCCCTTTAGTTTTCGGTCCTGAGGTTTTCTCAATCACCCCCACGAGCCAATTATGTCAGAGTTCACAAGACAATCTACAGACTGCAGAGAAATTTGCTAAGCACATTTATGGTTCACTGGATTTGATTGATGTTCCGTTAATGACACCCAAAAAACAAACTTTACATATCCAGCCTCACAAATAGTAAGATCATCAGACAGTCCCACACGTTTGTAATGTGGACTGTATTAAACATTGCAGTCTCGTGTTTCTACTAGCAAAGCTTTGGAGTTCAGTATTCTTACATCTGTACTGATCACTTCCTCTCTGTCTGCTGACTTGGTTTGGTTTCTGTTCATGTTGACTCCAGCTCCTGGAAACACACAGCATAAGGAATAGTTACACAATTTGGCTGTGTGCATAATAATACATGTGTAATACATGTGTGTTATCCTGTGAGTATGTGTGCATGTCTCTGTGCATGCATTTGACTGTAAGTAAAACATACCTTGCCCTTTGTAACTTTTGTATTTATAACATATAACTATGACCAGCAGAAATATCAGTATGATCAGTACAGCGGGCACAACAAAAACCAAAGGGTAAAAGAGCGCTGCATCTATAAAGGAGAAACAGAACAGAGTATAAATATACACTTCCTGAGAACACCCATCACCCACACACACACCCAATATCTCTTAACACAATCTCAAAGATAAAACAGCAGACGTAACACCAAATATTAGAGCCGTGTATTGGAGCCATTTATGGTCAGTGTGTTTTAACATGACTGTTGGTTCACCTCATGTGCACACACGTACCCTTGAAATGTTTGCCAGAGATATTTGTTGATTGTGATCCAACAGGTTCCACCACAGTGCTGTTGGAGATCACAGTGCTGGTAGAGATCACAGTGCTGGTCTGCCGTGGAAAGACTGTCAGAGAAAAGGTTTGTTAGTACACTTGGCATATAGTCATATTGTTTGCTAGCAAAGCTCTGGGGACAGCAGTGTTTGTCGGTCCGTTGGATGGTCCACCAACATGGTCACACCAATCACTCATATCTCTACTGGACAACTACTGGATGGCTTGACATGAAATCTGTCAATTTTGCAGTCCCCAGAGGATTTATTTTGGTGACCCTCTAGCATGGGCGTAAATTTCATCCGACAGTAGGACAATATACATAAAATTTCACAAGAGCAATTTTTGAAGGGGACACAAATAATACAGGCAAAATTGTACACAAGTCTTACTTACTTGTGCGTCAAATCGAGGGGCGTAGCCTCTGCATAGCCCCCTACCCTACGCCGTCACCTACGGCGTAGCCTGACGTGCACCTCCTCAAAAATGTAACTACACGTTCAGGCAACGCGGACCGTAAGCTCTGTGATTGGTCGGCTGGGTAGCCTCGCAATGCCTCAGAGCCGACAGGAAGTGTCCGAGCTTTGAAGTAACGCCAAAACGGCGTCTGTAACACGGTGGATCAATATATTTGACCATCACAACCCGAGCAAAATGACTCGTTTCACTATCAGAATTTGATCTATTCGGTCGATAAGATTTGAAAAGGCTACACCAGCCGCACGTTTACAATTTTACCCCATTCACGTTAGCGGAGCTCTAAACCGGAAGTTAGCCTGCACGGACGGCAAAAGTCGACACAGTGGACGCTGTAGCGCTACTGCTGACTAGCGTTTAGGGGTGTAATTGCAGATTGACGGACACACGGACGCACAAGTATAAATGCCTGGCTACGTGCGTAGCCTACGTTCGTAGCTATGTATAAAACAGCCCAGCCAGCCCATTTAACATTACTGGACCTTCACAAATACTTAAGGATTCGAACTCATTTTCTCCCACCGGACTCCTGTGAGAAGGAAAGCAGGCAGTGGACCAAACCACTGTGCGGCAAGGGAAGGGGGACTGAAAATGTTTTAAAAATTAAAATGCACTTTAATTGCCCTGTTTACATTTGTATTGTTTAACTACTTACACAGTTATTTTAAGTATATATCATTATATTATTTGATGGTTTTTAAGGGGGGGACACCCCTCAGATAGGGGGGAGACCTTTCTGCCTATGCCCTCTAACACCACCAGCAGTGTCCAGTCCTTTGTTTTACAGCAGGGATCAAATCTGGGTATAATTTACAGCTATGTTCACTTTTACTGTCATATTCTGAGCTGATTTCTCCATCTGTTGCTCTTTAAATAATCTTACCTACTGACAGTTGAATCTTGGTGTAGTTTCCAGGACTCCACTGTGAGTCTGAGCCACACCAGTATGTCGCAGCATCTCCTGCTTTCAGCTCTGTGATTATGACCAAGAAAGAGCTGGAAGAAACATCTTCTTGCAGTGAGAACCTGCTTTGATGAGTCACCACGTTGACACAGCTGTTACGGTGGTCTCCCTTACAGAGGAACTTCCTGTTATTCCGATGTTGTGGGGGATAAGGACACTGCATAGTTAGTGGACGTCCCACAGTGCCGCTCATTTTCTTTGTCTGCACACAGCACCACTCTGAAACAGAAGGACTTTTGAGCTGACCTGCCAACATTATTTATGCAGCACTTAACAAAAACAAAGAGTTACAAAATGTTTTACATGGTTGAATACACATTACAAATATTTCAAAGCAGATGCAAATTAAATCAAGTAGCCTAAAATTACATAAGGTTAAAGGAAATAAGATTTTTGTGTGGTAACAGTGATACAGATAAAATAGACATGTAAAACAGATAGAAATGGAAGGAAGCACTAATGTCAATAAAAAGCTGTTTTGTAAAAGTATGTCTCTTGAGAAGTGATTTAAAAGATGTCACTGATCCTTCCTCAGATTCACAGGCAGGGTGTTCCAGAGCTGATGGGCTCTAACTGCAAAAGTCCAGTCACCTTTAGTCTTCAGCCGGGACTTCGGAACAGCTAACAGGGCCCTGCCCAATACCGAAGTAGCAATACAGCAATGTAGCTGGAAGAATAACCATTAAAAGTTTTAAAAGTGATCAATAAAATCTTTGTAGAAAATCCTCCTTCCTGCCCAGTTCCAGGAGGGCGGGACTTAAGTTAAGTAAGTTCTGTATATCTGTTATAGTTATTGTTTCCTTGTTCAACAGCTAATGAGTGCTTTAATTTGATTATGACCCATTAGAGTAACTTCTGTCTACTGATTGTTTTCATTTTCAATCATCTGTCAGTCATATTGGAGTAAGAAACTTTAAAGGACAATAAACTGTGGAATGGCTCTCATCTCTGGTCCTCATATTTTGACTGGTGTGCCAATACAGAAGCTCTAGACATTATCCAGCTTCCACAAACGCAAGTTTCTACATGGTCCTTTGAGCCGGAGTGCTTAGGCATTGGGTATGGATCAGGGAGAACAGCTTGATGAAGAGGGACCCAGGCGGGGAGCACGGCAGAGATGTGCCCTCATATCTCCAGGATTATGAGCATTATCAAGCCTCTCACCATCCACAATCAGGCGTAGAGCATCTACATGGGGCTGAGTCCAGTTATGAAGGGCAGCCTTGCCCAACCACGACACATGCCAAAATTGAGCAAATCAGACACATGGTCATGCAACTTCTTAGTAGACAGGATGCATTAGAGAGGCAGCAAGGTTCATATAAGTCTTATACCTCAAGTGATTGTGGTGATGATTCTGAAGACTGAAGTTAGTAGGCCCATCCAAATGCAGTGCACGCACACTCAAATACATGCACACAGTGCATGCCAATTGCCAATCCACAAACATAACGATTACAAGCCCAACCACCCAGAAAAGGCATGCTCTACTGGAACCTTAGTGCCCCCTCCTCAGCAAGCTCTGCCTCCTCTCCAGGCGCCCCTAGCACTTTATCCACCCCATGTGTCTCCAGCACCCTCTCAATCCCAGTGGGCCTTGGCAAATGTTGGAGGTGTACAGGATCACATATGGCAACAAACTGTAATCTGAAAAAGCCATGTTCCGTTTGCAGTGGGAAGCACCTGGGCATTCTCTACCATGTAAACCAAAGAGACAGACTCCAAGGTCCTATATTTAAATCCCCAGCTCTCCCAAAGTTCTCTTAAAGGTGGTCAAAGTGATCCTGCGGAATAGACACCATACCCTAGAGACCTATGCCATTTTGGATGATGGCTCTCAGCGTACAATGCTCCTGCCAGCAGCATGTAAACAGCTAGGGCTTGAAGGTCCACAGAACACCTTGTAGTTCGTCCAATCAGGCAAGAAACCTAAGCCTTAAATGGAGCTTCAGTTAGTTTTGAGATTTCACCCTCCCTAAATCCACAAATTATTCTCCATTGAAGATGCCTTCACCTCAGGCAAGCTATCGCTTGTTGACCAGAGTTACCCAGTGGATAAGCTCCAGAAACGCTATCGCCGCAAGTTTCTACATTCTTAATTCTAACACTAACAAGTAACCAGTGAAGGGAGGCTAAAACAGGACTGATGTGATCTTGTCTTTGTGTTTAAGTCGAGCGGCTGTGTTTTGTACTAGCTGACGATGTGAGATACTTTTTTTGCTTAGCCTTGAATACAGTGAATTACAGTAATCCAACCTAGATGAAATAAAAGCATGGATGATCTGCTTGAGGTCAGGCCAAGAGAGAAAGAACCTGATTTTTGAAATGTTTCTTCACTGGTAAAAACAAGACCAAACAACATTTGTAATATATTTTTCAAAAGAAATGTCATGGTCAAACTTTACACCCAGGTTTCTGGCTGCAGGTTTAACTTTACTTGGTGATTTCAAATTTCTTACATTTTAGAGAGTAATCTTTTTACTCCATTATATTTATTTCACAGCTATAGTTACTACTTACTTTTCAGATCAATATTATATATTTAAAACATTTGATCCTATTTATAAAATAAGTATAAAATAGCACTGTTGTAGATTAGACTACCAAAAGATAGCTTCACATTGACAACTTTAAAGTGCTGCCTATGTGTACGTCAATAAATCAGTATTAATGTTCCAACAATGTATGAAAATATAACTCTATAAATGGGAACAGTTTTGAACGCAGTAATAGAGTATTTTTGCATTGTTGTATTGCTACTTTTCTTAAGTGAAAGCTCTCAGTACTTCTTCCAACACTGGTTACAGACTACACAATGCCAATACACACACACACACACACGCAGTCTTGTGTTCCCGTCACTGACATAATGTATTCCCTAACCCTATACCCTAAACAACCTAACCAACAGAGGGAGAGTTGTCAAAAGTCTGGTGGGGGGGGGGAATAAATTGCACATACGTGCAAAATTTAATTCACCGGCGTAACCAGCTTTTGCGTTGTGACAAATGGTAACAGCGTACTTTGATGTCAAAACGTGTCCCTGATACGCAAAATGCAGACAGGCTGACAGGTCTGTAATCAGCCAGTATTCAGGTCAGATAAGAAAATGTGATTTCCTTCAAATGTTGACTTTATTTTGAGAAATAAAGAAAATAGTTTTCTGACTGATTTGCATATTGTGAAAAGTAATGGTTCACTTTAAGATGATGTTCAACTGATCTCTCACCTTTGACTTCTAGTTCAGCAGCAGAGAAAACATCCAGGCCGGTGTTTCTATGGATACCACAAAGGTACAATCCAGAATCCCTTCGGGTCAAACCAGTAATGGTCACTGTGAATTTCCTCAAAGTCTTTTCATCATCGAGTCTGAACCGTCCGTTTCTATTGTTGTCAGAGGTGATTACTGCCTGCTGCTGACATGCGGAGGGTTGGTTCTCTCTGCAGATGTACTTGAGGTTGTTCTGGTACTCTGGCTCATATGGACAACTAATAGACACTGAAGATGTTTCATAACTTTGGACTTTGGTGGATTGGTCACAGCACCTGTCTGTCAGAAAAATGAACAACATCACAGACTGTTGGGCACAGATATAACAATTCAGATTCTTTACTAAAGTAAAATAATCAATATCACAATGTTAACATGTTAAAATATACAGTGTTGTATTCCTTTTAGATCATTGTTACGATTTAATGTTCTATTGCCTCATACAAAAAATTCACTATGTGGACAACCCAAAGCAATTCAACAACAAGGTCTTGATAAGTGTAATGAAATAATTAATTGACAATGGAGAGATTCAGCACTCTGATTAATTTATTTACCTACCTTGTCTTACTTCCAGCTGTACTTCAGTATAGATATCCTTTCCATTCTTGGTCACCCCACACCAGTACTTTCCAGCATCCATAAAACTCAGATCAGAGATGGTTGCTGTGAAGACCCGTTTTACATCGACATCATTGATAGAGTATTTGTTCTTCTTTCTTTCTGTCGTTGTAATGAGAACATCATCGTAACTACAGTCATTCCTGCACAAGTACTTCTCATAAGATTCATAACCCTCTGGATAGGGACAAGGAACATGAACTTCTTTGCCTTCATATCCAAACACATGGATCTCCTCTGCGGCACTCCTTACACAGCTCAGAGCAACTGCAAAGAGAAGACAACTTGAAATGTAAATAAATAAATAATTTGGATATGGGCTTTAATTTTTGATTTATGCAGGTTCTTCATCAGTTTGTCACTAAACAAATACAGTATGTACATTTGAATATGTTTTGATGTCTACGAAATAATTTTTTATCTAATGTAGAAAAAATGCTGTGCTACAGCTGTATAATGAAAATACCAAAAGCAATATCAGAACATAGTATTCTGCAATATTGTGCATATTTGCATAAAAACAGTTATTTACTAATTTCAAGAAACTTACTGCACAGGGCGAATAACTGATTTTGAAGGCTCCACATCTTCATTCTATTCCAAAGAAACAGAGACTGTGTCTAATATTGAACAGTTACACCCACAATATGTGTCAGCATGTCATGCAGATGTTCAACCCTCTTACTTCCGTATTTAGATAACTAGTATTTTATCAACCAAACCAAAAAAAAAAAAAATTACATCACAAAACAGGAACAGATTCAGTTCCTGTTTTGTGAAAACTTTGTAAAAACTGACTTCAGTTCAATTCATATAACTGTATTTGTCCCTGAGAGGCAATTGCATTGTAGTACATGTAACAAGTAACAATACTGGGGAACAAATTTTTTTTTTTTAATACGTACAGAACACACATAACATACAGTGCAGCATTGCTAATTTAGAGTTATTGTATGACATAGGCCTACTGTGCTAAAACAGCCTATACACATTATGATAATAATATAATACTTTGCTCTAAATCTGTAAAAGAGGAAAATATGTGATTTGTAATGTAAGTGAAAGTTCAAACTGTTCATTTTAGTATATAGTTGGTAGATTTGCTACAGAAGTTTAATCATCAAGTGTTCACATTGTCACCACAAAGGGGCACTCTTTCCAACCATATACCTTAATATACAAGGTACATTGTACATTAATGCAACTGGACAGTAAATTAAGTTTATACCCATATTTTTATACTCATACCACCAAATGATGTCAGCCGGTACCGATTTGTTTTCAAACTGAAATCTTAGAAACAGCTCTAAGACCTGATATACTGTATATTTAGACTGCTTTTCTCCTATCAATCTTCACTTGAACCAACTTCAATGATTTTTTCACCTAAGGCATCAACCTGTCACTTACACACCATCACAACTACGCTGCTTAAAGTTTTGCTTGAAGTTTTACCCTTGTTTAAGTCGAATTTATCAGATCGATTTCAGTTTGTATATGTTAACGATAATCCTCTATGAGACCCCAAAGTTAGTCACAGAGTTCCACAAGGTTCTGTGCTTGGACCAATCCTATTTACCTTATTTATGCTTCCTTTAGGCAATATTATCAGGAAGCACACCATACACTTTCATTGTTAGTTCAGTTATCCAGTGCTTAAAGTGGGTCGGCACCACATTTCACTCTTTTTCTTGGGCAATCTGTATACTCCCTCCTGTCCTCTCCATATCAGGTTCTCTGGGCCATTCATACGGCCCTAAATAAACTGCATTACCCAGGGGGCGGCTCACATGTTCCCATTCTCACCAGCCTGCTAATCTCTGTCGGTGAAGATCCTGTAGTAGGGGAGACCGGGTGTGGTTGTAACATGTAACATTCCACCAATTAGAGATAAGATAGGAATTAGACGATCATTTCAGTATTTACCTATTTCCTCTCCGATCAGGCATGGTGGTTATCAAGTCTGGAAACAGACACAGTCAGAATTTATAGAGAAAAAAATTATTTTGAGCTAAGAAAGTAATTTTTTTGACCAAGACTATATTTTGTTTAGTATCTATACTATTGCAGATAAAATTATTTGATTTATTATTTTTTTAATCTAAACTTTATTTAATCAGGTGAGTCTCATTGAGATTAAAATCTTTTTTGCAAGAGAGACCTAGCCAAGACGCAGCATAATAATAATAATAATATTAATAATCTTTATTTGTAGAGCACTTTACAAAAACAAGTTACAAAGTGCTTTAACAAGTGTAAAGACAATAATACCCAAAAGACAATAATACAAAAACAATACAAGACAAAAGCAAGAAAACATTGAAAAGACTAAAATACACGTTTAAGATAAATATAAAATAAGTAAAATAGAATAAAATAAAAGGGAAATAATAAAGTCAAATAAGATAGGGAAAGGCTCTCCTATAAAAGTATGTTTTAAGAAGGGACTTAAAAGAGTTCACTGACTCAGCCGACCTGATTTCCTCGGGCAGGCTGTTCCAGAGCCTCGGGGCCCTGACAGCAAACGCTCTGTCCCTTTTAGTTTTCAGTCGAGACTCTGGAACAGACAACAGACCTCTGCCCAAGGATCTCAAGGTACGTGCTGATGTGTATGGGACTAAAAGGTCAGAAATATAACAAGGTGAGAGGCCATGAAGAGCTTTAAAAGTGATCAATAAAATTTTAAAGTCAATTCTAAAACATACTGGGAGCCAGTGTAATGAAGCTAAAATAGGAGTAATGTGGTCATATTTCTTTGTTCTGGTTAAAAGCCTGGCAGCTGAGTTCTGGACAGTCTGAAGTTGATCAGTAGATTTTTGGGTTAAACAGGTAAAAAGGCTGTTGCAATAATCCAGGTGTGATGAGATGAAGGCGTGTAAAATGGTCTTGGTGTCCTTAAAAGTTAACATAGATCGAATTTGTGTGTCATCAGCATAAATATGAAAAGAAATACCATGTTTATGGATAATATGTCCAAGGGGAAGCAGATACAAGGAAAACAAAATGGGTCCTAAGACCGACCCCTGAGGCACACCATATTTAACTGGACAGAATGAAGAGACATAGTTATTTACAGACACGCAAAACTTCCTATTTGACAGGTAGGATGAAAACCATACTAGGGCAATACCAGAGATACCCAGTGCCTCAGTCTGTCTAACATGATTTTGTGATCAATGGTGTCAAAAGCAGCGCTAAGGTCCAGGAGTACCAGGACTGAGCACATGCCATCATCAGCAGACATTAAAAGGTCATTGGTGACTTTAAGCAGGGCAGTCTCATTGCTGTATTACTTCCTGAAACCAGATTGAAACTTTTCAAATAATTTATTATTTTCCAGTACAGTGAGCAGCTATTTGGACACAATTCTTTCTAGAATCTTTGCAATAAAAGGCAGTTTTGAAATTGGCCTAAAATTATGATGGAGGGAGGGATCTAAACCAGGTTTCTTTAAAAGTGGGTTCATGCAAGCCGTTTTAAAATAATCAGGGACACAACCAGTAGATAGGGAGCTGTTAAAAACAGAGATCAAATGGGGCCCTCAGACAAGTCGATGGGATAAAACTGGTTAAAACTCTCTTGTTGCTGGTTAGGGACCTCTGAGTAAGAGGCTGCGGGAGTAATAGAGGCTCTGATTGACACCACCTTATTGGTAAAATAAGATAAAAACAATTCACAGTCATCATTACTTCCAGCTGAGGCACAAGGAGGGGTTGGGTTTACCAGCTGATCCACAGTCTTAAACAGAAACCTGGGATTGTGTTTATGTGTAGTAATGAGTTCAGAAAAATAGTGTGTTCTCGCATCCTTAACCGTGTTATTGTAGTTAATTAATAAATCCTTCAGACTGAGGTAATGGACTGGATTTTTTCCATCTGCGCTCTGCTTTCCTGCATTCCCTTTTTAGGCTGCGAATGCTGTCATTTATCCAGGGTTGCTTACTAGCTTTAGACGTAGGCCTAACCTTTAGAGGAGCAGTAATATTTAGTGATGACAAGCAGATATGATTGAAGTGATCGACCAGATTGTTGGTGTTGGAATCAGACAGGTGTTGGCTTTGGCTCTGAAAGAATGTGCAAAACTTTGAAACACTTTGTTCATTAAAGATGCGAGAACACACGGAGCTTGGTAAGGCGGCATGAGTAACAGGCGAATCGCAGCTAAAAACAATACATCTGGGGTCAGATATGGTCATGTCCACAGAGGAAATGCTGACACCCAGGGTAATAACCAAGTCCAATGTATGACCACGGTTATGTGTTTGCCCTTTGACATGTTGTTTGAAGTTAAAAGAAGTGGCCATATTTAAAAAGTCAGTAGCATTAACATTGGTGGGGTCATCAACTTGAATATTAAAATCGCCACAAAGAACAATTCTGTCATAATTTAAAACCAGAGTAGATAAAAATCCTCCAGGCGGTTTTGGGGGGCAATAAATTATAACAAACAAACAAATATGATTGCAGCCCTCCAAGTTTAAGAGTGAGAACTTCAAAGGAGTTAAATTCATCACAGCGTACTTGATGACATTTATTTCCTATACACGCTCACTAGCCCACCTCCACGACCACTGACCCTCGGTTGACTAAAACAATCATATTGAGGCGGACACAGTTCAGCTAGCTGGCTATAGTCATTCATTTGCAACCATGATTCAGTTAAAAACATAAAATCTAGATTTGCAGACAAGATAAAATCATTTAAGATAAAAGTCTTACTTGACAGTGATCTCACATTGAAGAGAGCCATTTTAAATCTGTTTGGGTGCTGGAGTTGGTGCAGTTGTCCTAAGCATAAAAGAACATAAAGAACAGTTTCCAACATATAAAAGACATCAAGTACACATACCTGTATATATATATAACACAAGCGCCTGTGTTGAATAAGGCAGAAAACAACTTTATAAACAGCAACACTGACCAATGCTCAGTAGCCACCAATCCGTGGTGGACTGGATGGCAAAGTAAGGGGTGGTTGCTGTCAGAGAAAGAGAAGGACCTGTGGGGTGGGTTAGGGTTAGGGAGCCAAAGGCAAAAGGTTATCCCATTACTGCATGTATCTCAGTTTCTTCCCTCTCCCATAGTTTTGTGCTTTCTTGTTTCTCTCCTCTTCTTCTGTCACTCTCTGCAGGTGTTTGTGGATTCGGAGCAGTAGAATCTGGATCTTTGGTTGCACGCCACCTAATGTCTCCATGATCCTGCTTGACAGCTGCTGCTACAATAATTATTATTATTTAATTGATATTTGTATTATTAACACTACCATTACTATTATTTGGCATCTCTATGTGGAACTTGCATCTCTATGTGGAACTTCTGCTAGGGTGTGTTGTCCTAATACTGACATGTCACTTTCAAAATAAAAGAGATCCAACACACATGAATATGTCTGAATTGCGATACACAAGGGAGAATGGTGATCATCTTATCCAACGAGGGTTAAAATGAAGGGCAACTGGACTTGGTTGAAGATACTGTATCTTCAACCAAGTCCAGTTGCCCTTCATTTTAACCCTCGTTGGATAACTATGACCTGGATGACTGAGAATCTTCATAGACATCTGGTGATCATCTTGATTTCTTTAAATTAAATTAGTGTAAATGGATGGATTTTTTTCTTCTAATAGTATAACTTCAGTCTACTGTGAGTATTCCAAGTTGTGTAACAACTTTTCAAAAGGTAC